AAGGGGCGTAACTACTCAGGATGTGGAGGAGAGCGCGTTCAGTACACGGGACGGACATTAGCCGAGCCGAGCGACAGAACGATAGAGATGGCAGATAAAAAACAAAAGAGGAAAACATCTGCGGAACAAAAGATCAATCTGGGAAAATATTCCAGAAAAATGTATAAAAATAGGCTATCACAATATTTTTTTTTCCATATATTGATATTTATCATGATTTTCATTTACCATTAATGGGGAAGGAAATGCTTTCCACATGTTTTTTAGACTTTGAGAATGAAGGTAAACATAACTTTGTTCACAATTAAATTCCACAGAGGAGCTACGTTTAAAAGGTGGGGTATGTATTTTTCAAAAACGGTTTAGAAAACTGAGTCGGACCGAGTAGCAAAACAAACTTGTAGCCAATCAGCAGTAAGGGGCGTGTCTACTCATGATGTGGAGGAGAGAGCGCTCAGTGCACAGGATGGACATTAGCCGAGCCGAGCGACGACAGAAAGATAGAGATGGCGGATAAAAAACAAAAGAGGAAAACGTCTGCGGAACAAAAGAAGGCTTAAGGCAATAAGGCAAGAAGTAGGACCCATGTAAATATCTGATCAGCTTTCCAGCGCTGGAGAGAACTCAAGGAGTGGAAGGCCTGCGATCGGACGCCGAGGTTGTTTTGTTTCTTTTCGATAGGTGAGTAACACCGTGTCTGCGCCGCAACAGCTAAAGTCTGTCTAGTACACTGGACGCGACAAAGCGACCATTGAAAATCATTTGAAATTTGTGTCAATACATCATGAATGGAACGCAGCAGCAGTTTTGCTTTGTTTCACAGAACTAATCCTTTGCCTGGGTTGCGTACGTATGTGTGGGGTGGAGCTATCAAAATAGGGGCGAGACATTTTTGGGGTAGGGGCGTGTTTGTTTTGGTGATTTCAAATGTCAACATTGGCTACCAGAAATCGCTTACCCCACCTTTAAGCTACCAAGTGATTGTTTACTCTAATAGTGGCAGATTAAAGGTAGAGAGAATCTGATTTTACTTGTCTGTTGTCAGTGGAGGCTCTGTATTTGAGTCAGACGATTTATGGTAACGCTTTCTTTTAGTGCCTGTCAGAGAATTCATTCCATTCATTATATTTTCTTAGTCACTGACTCTTAAGCAAACACAAAATGATCTATTTTTTATTTGAGAAATTTTATACCTTGGCTGGCCATTGTGAAATGGATGAAAAGCCCTGGAGGTGAAAAAATGTAATTCAAACTCAGATTATATTTTTTTATATCACTATATATTTTTAAACCAGCTTTATGTATCCCACTGTTAACATGCTGCTTTTTATGTCAGAAATGGAATATCATTTATATTTAATATCTATAAAATTTTATCCAGTTATCCTGCAGGGATTCTTTTTTCAACTTACCGCTTGGGAGACCTGCACTGTAAAGAAAAAAAACTGTAAAAAAAAACTGTAAACAAATGTAAACACATTTACAGAACAACCTGTACATTTTACAGTTTAAATTTGTAATTTACAAAACTAAACAAAGAAAAGGTAAATCCAACAGCCCTTTTCTGCTTCAAGCTGCTACTAAAATTTGTTTTGTACCTTATACATATACTGATGATAACCACCATAGCAACACAGGTGAAGAGAAAACCAGTAGTTCTATGTGAAATCAGACATTTGAGCACCCCCATATAGCCAAAATGGCATGATCATAACACCCCTCGAATATTCGACTGTGAAATTGGTAGTCGAATCAGGATCCTCCTATCGAAGCATCTATTCGGGGTCACCCCTACTATTTTGTAACTTAATTCAAGTGTATAACAAAATACTGTTATTAAACCATTTAATTATAAATTATGAGCTAACTAGTCTTGATTCAACATTAACTTTGAAGTGCTACCTATTATAATACAATAAAGTCACTTAATAGCAATGCTCTCCCACATATTTAGCTATTCTAACTGTGCTTATTTCCGTCGTTGGTATAAGTGGCAGTGGGTGGTACACTAGAACTGTACACTAGAAATGTACTGTTTTATACCATCGTGCTGACAGTGTTTCTTTAGTCATTCGGCAATCAGCCTGAACCACTGTAGGGAAATCCCCCTTACAGTAGCAAGGCCATGCTCATACGCCCACAACAGGCACATGAGTCATCCACGAACACAGCTTCAGCGTGTTGGATGCCTAGACACGGTCATGTCATTTTAAATGTGTTTTTTTTACCTTTAAAAAATCGTAATAATCTTTGCACTGCCTTGACCATATGGAATTAGTTGAGGTGTAATGAGCTATATTTTATAGTTTTTCCAATAATGATGTTTGGCATTTCTAGTATTGTGAGCTACTTAAGCCACACGTCCTGCTGCCTAATAGAAAATAATGCAACGCAGTGCATTTACAAAGTGTTGACAGCGAGTAGTTGAATAGTAGGACATAAAAAAATTATCTGGTCATTGGCAGGTCTGAAGGAATTTTGGCCCACTCTTCTTTACAATGTTGCTGTAGTTTATTGAGGTTTGTAAGCATTTGTTTATGCACAGCTCTCACCACAGCATTTGAGTCAGGATGAGCTCTGTACTTTCACTAGTTTATTGCAACCCCTTGATTCTTTTCTTTTCAGCCGTTCTGTTGTAGATTTGCTGGTGTGGCATTGTCCTGTTGCATGACCCAATTTTGGCCTAACTTTAGCTGTTGGACGGATGGCCTAACACATGGTCGACTGTGAGGTGCCCAGATCCTGTAGCTACAAAACAAGCCCAAAATCATCAGCCCTCCACCAGCATGTGTGACTTTTGGTATGAGGTGTTTGTGCTGGAATGCTCTTTAGGTTTTCACCAAACGTGCTGCTGTGCATTATGGCCAAACATCTCCAATTTGGTCTCGTCTGTTCAATGGAATATTGTTCTAGAAGCCTTATGGTTTGTTCAGATGCAACTTTGCAAACCTAAACCGTGCTGCCATGCTTTTTTAGATAGAAGAAGCCTTCCAAACATGCCATACTTGTCCCACATTTTTCTAATTACTGTCATGAACTTTATCATTTAACATGTTAACTGACGCCTGCAGAGTCTGCAGTGTAGGTCTTGGGTTGTCTGCCATTTCTCTGTGCGTTACGTCTTAGGGTGAATTTCCTGGGACGTCCACTCCTGGGAGGATTGGTGTCTGTCTTTAATGTCTTCCACTTGTGAATAATCTTCTTCACTGTGGAATGATGGACTTCAAAATGTTTAGAAATTGCCGTGTTACTCTTCCTAGATTGATGGCAGTAACATTTGCTTCTCTAAGATCATTACTGATGTCTTTCCTTCTTGGCATTGTGTTAACACACACCTGAATGCTCCAGACCAGCAAACTGGCAAAACATCTGCTTTTATAGAGGTGCTCGCTCTTGCTGATGATCAGTTAATCAAAGGCATTTGATTAGCAGAGCCTGACTGCTACTCACCCTCTTAATTCTTATGTTAACAGTAAGGGTGTCCTATCTTTGTCACAGATGGCTTTTCTATTTTGGCTTTATTTTTGTTAAATAAATAATGACATGGTCCAATATGTAATGTGTTGTAGTTCATAAATTTAAGACCTGCCTAGGACCAGATTTTTTTTTATGTACAGAATAAAATGTACAGATACAGAAAACCATGGAATTCAGTAGGGTGTCCTTACTTTTTCACATGACATATAGCACAATTATTGGCTTCTGGGAGTATAAAAATGCCATTCAATTATTTATTTCCTAATAAAGTATAACCCTTTTAAAGGTTTAAGTAATAAACCATTTTGGACCAATTTAATTTGTTTTTGTTAGAAAACAGGAAAAACTGTAAAAACTTGCTACTTCTTTGGGACACAGTTACAGCGTTACACTATTCTATTGTAATTGTGTACAGTGTATATTATGATAATCTTAGGGTAACATTGTTCTGTATGAACAAAATTATAAAACTTAATATTCAGCCACTGTTTATCATTCAAAAGTGTTCTGTTTCTACATATGCAGTAGGAAGGAGACTACAGTTTTTACAGTTTATTTTCAAGACGTTTAATATGCACCCTTTAGAGGTAAATATAGTAAAAAGGTGACAGAGGAAAAGTGCGAAAAGTGTACGTTTTGAGAACCAGTGTACGATTTGGAATTTTGTGCTAATAGAATGACCAGCAGGTGTCAGTAGAAGACTTACTTGGATCTACTAAACATTGAAACAAAAACTTTCACTGTCAACCCTTGTCAACCCAATCTGTGTGTCAAAAACAGTTATGAAAATATTAGCCTATATATGTGACTCATCAGAAGCAAAAACCGGGGAAAAAGTTTATATTTGCTTCACTTGCCAAACAATAAAAAGCGATGCCAAAATAGTAAAAAGTAAAATAAATAAATAAATAGAAAAATTTTGAAGCCTTGCCAACAGAATGAAAATGCCCATTAACAAAGAAAGCATGATTTTATGCGTATATGCCACAGATTATGTCAAATGGATTTATGAAAGGAAATGAGCGTGAAATTAAAATTTCAATAAAAATCCACATTTTGACAAAAAAATATGCTGTTTGAATTCACACAGCCAAAATGATTTTTAAAAAAAAGAAAAAAAAGAGGAGAAATAATAGTAAATTATGGTTTATTTTAAAGAAATCATCATATCTTTATGAAACTGAAAAAGACAGCCTATGTAGAATTAAAGCTACAGTATTTACACATTTAAAAAACTGTTGTTTGAATATTGAGGAAATCAGACAATCAGACAAACATGTTAAGGTGACTACTGTTATACACCTGAAAGCATGCCCAATCATGCAGAAATATTACATCAACCACATTCTCCAATATTTCATGATTTCTTGGCATCCTAAAAAAAATTACATTTATATAGACACAGCACCCAGTGGCAAATGGAATTACTGTATATGCTAGATTAGTACATATATAGTTCTCCACAAAATAAATGTTGATGTGTTTGCAGTTAGACCTATATGAGTAAATGATTCAAAACTCGGTCACACAAAAAAAGGCTGACTTTCAATGACTGACTGGATGGTGCTGTCAAGGGCTGTGTGAGATGTCACATTTAGGATTTCATTTTGAGAACCTGCAGGGGGAAAAAACATTTTTATACATAGAGTTGACTAAATAGAGACCTGCTATGGAGAAGAGCAGTATTACAACTTTTTCTTTTGGAAAATCATGCTCATGCTGCATTATATATGTTTTTAGGTTTCTGCACTGAGCATTTTGTATTTAATCTAAGCATTGCAGTTTTAAGTTAAAGGTTTAAGTGAATCAAATAGCAAAAATTAATAAATAAATAAAAATACACAATCAAATAACATGTGTCACTCACCTTCATACTCTCTTGGTCTCTTCCGACCAAGTCGATCAGCCTTGTAACTCATTTTTTGTAAATATTTTTTTATTTCAGTTTCGCAGTCTACCCGGTTAATTTTGTGCTTCAGAGCAGCATCTGAAAGAGGAAACTTGAAAAATAATTTCTCATTCTCAAGAACTGCATAGACCCTCGTACAGATGCAAATATGTTGTACACTCAAAATGATAGACATCTCAGGTATTTAATTATTACTTATGCTTACACCATTGAAGATAATGAATGTGAAGACAACTGCAGACAAAATAATATGGAATAAACCCAAACATTCTTGGTACAGTATGTGGAAAGTGTTCATGCAGCGGTAAGTTTACCTCTGATCACATCTGCTAAAATAAGCTTAGAGAAGGGCCTTTTATCTCCTCTCCCCTGCCAGTTGAACTCCTTAGCCAGATCATCTATTATGACATGTTGCATTATGTACTTAATTACATCCTTTTGCCCAAAACCTCCACGTCCTGACAGATACTTCACCTGCAAAGATATTTTTTATACTATTATTACATGACTCTCCAGGTTACTGCATTGGGTGGTCAAATATTTTGTATAATGGGCGGTGAAATATATTTCTACACTTTATATCTGACTATTGTTCATGCCAACATGATGCTAATTTTATATCTTTCATTTGCTCCATCATGCACTGACTGTAAAGAACCAGAGCTGGGTGAGAGAGAACTTATAAAGTTCTCTAATATGTGAGCTAGCAAGTCCATCAAAACAGATTCATAATAATGCAGATTAATATATACATTTTAACATTGTTGTTTTGTTGCTATGACATTTAATTTCTGTGTGGATTCCAAACAACATTTCATATCCATTTATGTCTTTATTTGATAATTAGCCATGTATAAGAAGGATAGTGTACAGTCAGCTTGTCATTATTGCAAAATAAACCCCTTTATGATACAAGTGTTGTTTATTTTGTCATAATGATTGGCCGACCGTATAGTTCCCTGTACATTTCTTTAAATGCTGTGTTGACACATATTTTTGGCGTGTTTTTGTGTTGTTGAGTTCTCTTTCAATCCTGGACACATCATCAAAGGTTCTAACAGGCAGTTTTGGGTTTGTTTTAACATCTTTAGAGGGCCGGCTGGTACTGCTGGGGACCTCAGAAACCGTATTTTCTTTGAGTAGTTTCTTTAACATAGCAGAGTTTTCCTGAACCGTGCTCTTAATGTCTCTCAGCATTTGGAGGAGCTCATCCTTGCCTGTTGTGTAAAATAAACTGTAAGTACAAAAAAGAGCAAGCAACAACTTTTCATTTATTTGATTATATGACCAAATATGATGACTCGCCGTCAGCTGACATTCTGGAAGTAATTGGCATAGAAGGCAGGTGAAACTGATTAATTGACAGTCCCTGACTGTACTCAAGTTTCTGTCTTTTTGCTGTTCCAGGGAATTCAGTGGCTAATTGAAATGGCCTTTATTTAAAAAAAGTAATAATTTGTTAAGCAAAAAAGTATTAACAAATTTTGAAAAAATGTGTTAAACAAATATTTATTGAAAATAAATAAATGGATCTATACTGTTCTTTAACTTGTTTTTGATGCTCCTCAGCCTGATCAAAAGTGGCTGCAATAAGATAAATATTTGAGAAGTGAATAAACAATAAATATTCCTCCATTTAATTTTGATGTAATTTTGAAATTGTAGCTGTTACCATGTTCTCCGTGAAAGCTAATATTTAATTTCTCCCATCCTATTGCAGGCTCATCTCTGTTCTGAACAGCTTCCTTACACTTCTCTGTTGATTTGAAGGGAGGCCAGTAACATTGTTTCTTGTCTATGCTCAACCAGTTTGATGCTACCACCATCACCTCTTCTGAATTTTGCAAGGTCACAACTGCATACATGGTCAATCTAGTAAAAAAAAAAAAGAAACACGACAGCATATTTATCTGTGATTGAAAGAAAAAACAAAAAAAAAGAAAGCAAAATATGCTTTTCAATGTTATAGAAAATTGGACAGATGCCTCAATCAAACATTGATTTGATTTATTTTAAATACTGAATATTAGTATTATTAATAAACAATGTGGTGTTGAAATTAATTTTGAGCTTTGAGGTTTAAGTCCCAAGTGAATTTAACTGGGGCTGAAAGCTCCCCAATAAAAGCATTATATTTCAACATTACAGTCATACTTATTGAGCTAAGCAGCTCACAGCATGATCAAATATAAAGCTGCTCTATTCAATAGAAGCCAGGAAGAACAAAGAGAGGAGCTAATGGAAAATGTTTCCATTTCTTTGGGTATCTGTGAGTATACAGTTATTTTACTATATAAGAAACATCATAATTGATTATACAGAATTTCTTTTTTAATTGTGGATTAAATTTTGCCATTCATTGTTTATGTATTCAAAAGAAACAATGGCTGGTATATACTGATGACATCTAAAAAGTAAACATTATTAAATATTTGCATAAAATATTTACAAATCTTTTATATCATAAAGATGTTTGTATAGAGATGTTAGATCCCTTAATCCTACCACAAACTTAAACATAACCAATTTATAAAGAATATATAAAACATAATGGACAGAAATATGTAGGCCGTTTTAGTAGCGTTGTAGCATTAAAAACAAAGACTCCCTAATCTCAATCCTACCTCCAAACCCAACTATAACCATTCTCAAAACATGTACGGTATAAAAAAACATAACAGATAACTGCAATCACAGTCATTTATTTACTGTAAAAGCTGTGGCAAAATTAGTCCAAACGATGATGTTGCGGTCACAGTCCTCTCTGGCAGTATGCAACAGTTTTGAGTGACGTGGAGAGAAGAATTTAAGTTGTTAATCACTGAAAATCTTATACCGATCCACTCTGTGAAAGCGTGCATTTCTCATTCAAACTATGTCTCTGCAGGCTAGTAATGGGATATAACTGCCATAAAAACTGTTTTATATAACTGCCATAAAACCTGTCATAAAGCCTCTTGAGGCACCAGTTTTTGATTATGTAGCAAGCAAGGGATTTGATGTTTATGGTTGCTGCTAAGGATGAAGATAAAGGTTACTGAATAAAGACTTAAGTTTGGGTCTGTTTATACTATTATATATATATGTGTGTGTGTGTGTGTGTGTGTGTGTATATATATATATATATATATATATATATATAAAAATGTATACTTTTGTAATTTTATTTTGGGGTATTTTATGGTTCTATTGTCAGTCACAATAGAAGAAAACACATTTTGTGTCCCCTGGCAAACAAAGTAAATTTTAGGTTTTTCGAAATGTTCGAACAGAAATGTTTTAAGGTTTTAAAGTCTTGTTAACATTATGTAATTCTTCTAAATTAAATGGCAGCAGAAATGACTCGGAACAGAACAAAATAATTAATTTCATATTAAGTAGATGATTAAAATGCAATTGGTTCATTATTACCACCCAGTTTTTGCAAATAGTGCTTACTATAAAAAAAGTTTTTTATCTCTGTTTGCATTTGCATTGCCTGCAGAAGTGCAGTTACTTGTTTAGCAATGTTTATTCAAAGAAAATAAAAACTATAACCATGTTAACTTTATTAGTCAAAAACAAAATGAACTAAATGTTTTTTTTTTTATTATTAACTATTAGACTAAAGAAGGCTTTAAAATTCAAATATGATAATATCAGGGAAAAGTTACCTTGTATGAATGATGTCTCTGGGAAAAGACAAGTCTGACAATTCAGTTTCCAAGTTAAGCAAAGAATAAGACTTTTGATGTTAGATCTAATACACATATGGGTGTGGACTTCTTGCTCAGTGACAAATGGTTTACTAATTAATTACTAAATCCTGAACTTTAGTCTGACAAAATAATAGTTACAAGTTTCAGAGAAAATAAAATGAAAGCACATGAAGTGAAAACAAAGCTTTGCTATTCACCCTGTAGGCCAAATGTTTGCATATCAGACACTCAAAGAACTTCGTTAGTTCAAAAGTAAAGGCTTCAGGTCTGTTATCAGTCAAGGACCTGATTTTACATTTCTGAGAACATCCTGAGAAAGAATGCCTTCTAACTGAAACCACGATTTCTTTAGGACAAGGGTTAAGTTATGATCAAGACAATCATGAATAATTATTAACATTTCAACAGCATTACCATATTTGGATGAGGTACATTATGAACATCAGCAGCAGTAGTTTTGATGTTGACTCACATAACATTCGTGTGTTACTCAGGAAATACACTACTAGTCTTTGGACTAATTGTTTGCATTTCTCTTTTTTCACAGTGCTGTTTGCCCTTAAGCTGAGGTTGTTGCATGTTTGAAAACGGCAGTAAGGGTGTCCAATAACCACATTGTCACGGTGCACACACACAAGGAACGAGGAGACGCTGGAGAATACGTTTAACAGGACTTTACCACCAAGGAACCAAGGGAGACGAACACAGGAAGACGTTCAACAGCAGACAGAGAACTAGGGACTGGGAACACTTTAAATACACACAGGAGGAGGGGATGACGAGACACACCTGGGATCAATGAACCATCATGGGGAACACCTGGGACAAATTAAACATGGGAAAGGAACACCTGGGGAGCAAGACAGACAAAACATGGAACAGAGTCTGACATAACGCCCCCCTCCAGAAGGCGTGACCTCACGCCATATAACATCCAATGGGGGGGGCGGCACTCTGGAGGTCCCTCAGGACAGACACGGGACAGTAAAAGGAACACCTGGGGAGCAAGACACAGACAAAACATGGAACAGAGTCTTGACACACATGAATTTCAATCATGGATCTATATATATGTTATGTATAAATGTATAATTGTTCTGTTATAAATCAGTGGTTTCAATCCCTCCCCACCAACAACTTGTCACTCACATGCAACAATCGCAGCAATTAGCAAACTTTATACACTTTGTACAATCCACTCAGTTCTCGCTTGACAATCAAGCCCCGTCCTACTTTTTTCTTCTTGTTTGAGAAGTCGTTTCACTCAGATACAGTATATGTCAAAATTGGGAAGACAAGAATTTATTTTTTATTCTGACTTAAAGCTTTTCTAACACTGTAAATACATCAAGAAATTAGAAATATCTTGACAGCCTGTCTTGACTGTCACTACTGCATATGTTTCAGAAAGGCCTTTGCAATTACATTACAATCTATACTGTAAATGAATCAAATGTATTTAGGTTCTTGAAAATTAGACAGTTACATTTTTAAGTGTAATTTACATGTCTTGCTGTAAAACAGTTATAATAAAAACAACAAATCAGTATACAGTTTGTATATCATGCAGCCCCTATAATAAACCCCAAAGTTCAGACATTTGATGAAAATGAAATGAACACAAACACATTTGAGTAAAAAAAACATTTCTAAAACGAAAGAAAACATTGGCTGTAGATGTGTTACACTTGTTGCACAATACAGTGGTTATGTTTCTTTTGGGATTTGTGCTGTTTCTCTTGCTTGATGAGCATCAGTCAGACAGATGATCTAGAAGTCTCTCCAGCTCTTCAATCTCTCTGGAGACATCTAGAAAGACATATAAGAAGATATTACATGAGGCAATGACTGAGATTAATCAAGCAATAACCTACTTCAGATTGCAAAAGATTATTTGTTTAAACACTTGTTTCTGTGGTGTAGTAGGATGACATTCTTACCCATCCGTGTCTTTTTGCTGTTTTGTGATTGTGAGCGTTCTATTGCTTTCTGTAGTTCATTTTCAAGAGTACTCTTTATGTGCAGCTTTACAAAGAAACAAGAGAAGATTCCATTTGTCTTTAGTCATTGTACAGCTGAATACATGATCGTCTTAATGTGAGATCAGTACCTTTAAGTTATTTAACTTTTTAAGCACTTCCATTTTTGCTTTTTTGAACATGTCTTCTTTTTTCTGATCGACTGTGTTTATTAACAGGTCTTGCATTTTCTTCATGGATCCTGTTCCTCTCACAGCTGCAGCTTCTAAAATAAACAACACTCTGTATTCATTCATTTTCTTTCTCATGAAGACACATCAGAACAAGCAAATAAATCAAGTCTTGGATGTGCGTTTCATGAAAGAAATGTATTTTGTGACATGCAGGGTGGCTTTTTTATTAATGAAGGGTGTTTTCTTTTCTGCACTAAATAACAATTTACATTCAAATAATTTGTGATTAATTGTAACTCAATGCTAGCGTACGCTGATAGCAAGAAGCCATTTCATTCACAATTGTTATTTGTATTGATGAGTAGATGTCCTTCTTCTTGTCAACAATGTCTCTGTTGAGCGCTGCCTTCAGTTTGGTTTCCTTTCACAAGGAGAAAACACAAAAAAGTCAGAAAATTCTAGAAACATTAAGTCCCTGTTTACATCAGTCCATTAAAAGTTAGTGTATTTCAGTGCTTACTACTTTATAATAAAACCAGCCTGCTTAATTATAAGGAATGAGGATTCATACAGAAGACAGACTTAGGCTGCGTTTACACTTGGCATTAACATGCGGTCACCGTGATCTGATCAAGCAGATCGGATCATCAGGCAATCAGGACACTGCGCGTTTACACTTGGCAACATCAGCTGACTTCTCTATCTGGATAACCGATCGGATCTGTATTTCCAGCTGGTCTGCGGTGCAAAGTCGACCTGAAGTGGTGGGTTTTCTTTTGAAAACTATTTTTAGTCGCGGGACATTTTACAAATCAAAATAAATGTACGAGTCTCACTTGCGCTCTGTTCTTCCGACAGATCGAGAGAGAGGGGGCGGCGTTTTGCGTGATATCGACCTGCGAATGAAGACACGATGGCTGGATTGCGTTTACATTACACTGAGATCCGATCACAATGCGTCCTCGACTACCTCTGGACCAGGACACGCAAGAGCCCTACATTTCACCCACTTTTT